TCAAAAAGGTGGAATAAGATCAAACCGCAGGTTGGTGTTCACAGTGTCCCAGACCTCCTCATGCAATCGCCACGAACCTATATACCTGCTCTAAGCAAAAGGCCTCTGAACTTTTAGAAGGTCATGTTGACCCAAATCTCATAAGACTGCTTTGATTTTTGCATTTGGATAAGCATTAAGGACTACGCTAGGCGGTATGTTCCTAAAAATAAAATATTGACCTAGGTTATTTTAGGTCATTGGCCTATTGAATCCAAATGAGCGCTAAGAAATACCCCAGACAGCAAGCTCTAGAATAAAAAATGAATTGATTTTTAGTTTGGTCTGACGTTCACAACTGACCTTAAGTGAATATAGAACTTGTTTATTCAATTGTTTAGTTGCCTAAGGAACTTTCTCAGAGATGTATGGCTTTGTCTATCACAGCTAACCCTAAGTGAATGGAACCTTTTTAGTCACTTGTTTAGTTGCCTAAGAAACTATCTCAGAGATTTATGGCTCTGTGTAACAGTCCGTTGTTGCACACGACTAAACGATTCCCCAGAAATTGCCTTTGCTGAACCCATAACCTGCTTTGACCTTCAGTAGGTAAGGGACCTTACAAGGTACATCTAAATTTCTAAAGCCACAAGATTCGCCGTTCAATTTTCTAAACCAATGCAAAATTTGACGTGGCTACGCCGCGCCATTTGAAGATTATTCCGGAAAAGCCTTGGGGATATCAAATCGGCACTCCCCGCCCGAGCGCGTATTGATGCGTTTAATACGCTCCGTTTTTATCACTATAATATTGTCTGTTACTGATCTGAGCTGAAGTGGTAGCCTAGATCGGCTGGATTGCTAGCAGTGCCAAACACTAGAGTCGTTCAGGCCTCCACTCGAATTTTGTCCTCCATCCGCCAATGTCCGGCTTGCTTGGCCGGCGTGTGTGCTGCTATCCGGCTCTTCCCTGCGACCGGCGCCTCGTTAGACAACTCCACTACGACAACCGCCCCTCCACCAAAACACACAGCCCCTCGCAGCGAGCACACCTCCGCACGTGCCATCCTCTCGAAATAGCGCCGGCCGCAAACTCGTCCCGCACGACGCGGCCATTTTCCAAACCGTTATCGCCCACCCGCCCTATAAATGACGTCATCAAATGCTCTTTGCGATATTGCTTGGGGTGATACAACAAAGCAAATAAGGTTAATCTGACATGGGGTCGGCTATGAGCGGCTGGCACGCGACGCTTACCGCCCGCCGGCCGACCGGTACGGCCACTGGGGGGAGAGTGGTGAGGAGGGGGGGGGGGGGGGGGGGGCAGGAGCACCGGTACGCCCAGTAGGGGAGAGGGGGAGGGGGCGGTCAGGAGCACTGCTATGGCCAGTTGGGGAGAAGGGTGAGGGGGCAGGCCAGATGCACCGGTACCGCACGTGGGGGAGGCGGGGGGGGGGGGGCAGGTGGACCACGATAGGCACTGATGGTAGGGTGAGGATGTTTGGAAGAGGTGATCTCCCTTGGGCAGCAATAATGACGGCCGTGCGTGAAATGGACTGCAGCCACGCAGGGAAAAGAGCGACGGTAGCACAACATGTGCCCGCGTTCTCACGGCTATAGAGGTCGCAAGCTTGCCTGCCCCATGACGGGGATACCTCCGAGGGAGGTATCCTCCGGAGGTAGATACCTATCGGAGGTATCTACCTCGGAGGTAGATATCTCCGAGGGAGGGTCTACACAGGCATGTCTCCTCTCAGGATGGCAAAAATCCGCCAATATTTTTACTATTTCGCGTGACATCAGTCAAGTGGCACCGGCTGTTTCCAAACTTTTCCCAAGTTAAATGCCGGACCCGGCCCTGCACCAGGTAATAAACGTCCGTGATAAGCGGTGTTCAGGTCATTAGTGGTCACAGGTCACATACTGCCCTCCCTCGCGTCCATTCATGAACCGATCTGGCCAGTATTCCCACCGGTGACAGACCCAGCCTCCTCAGCAGCAGATCCGTAGTCACACGTCCCCACTCCGCCCGGGCCCGCCGCCCCGCCCCCGTCGTCCTACTCCAGCGCGGCCGGCGCGGCGCACGTGCGCCACGTGCGCCAGGAATGCCGCCGCCGTCAGGTGCGGAGTGTTTGGCGCGATAAACGACAAGCCGCCGACGCGGCGGCGCACCGGCAGCCCGTCTAAATAAACGCTAGCGGCGGAGGGGCATCCGCGCCGCGCGAGCCCGAGGCGTGCGCAACGTCCGGTGACGTGGCCAAAGCCACAGCCGTCCCAGAACAGCGGCCGGCGCCCTGCGGGTATGGGGTCGGTGCCGGCGGACCGCAGAGCAGACGGGGATGCGGTCCCAGTGGTGGGTAAGCGGTGGGCGGGTCCCGGTGGCGGGCGGCGTGTGCCTTCCCCCAGTGGCGGGATGGGACCAGTGCCGCGGATAGCCGTCAGCGCCGATGCGCTGAACAGGTGACCGAGCTGTGGCCGACGCCATCGCTCAACGGCAGCTCGCCGGAAGCCGCGGTCGACGGCAGCACGCCGCAAACCGACACACCAACATGACTCATTTACAGCGTCATACCGTTTGCGGCGGCAAACACACCAGCCTTATTTTCCAACGGCGTGCTGCGCGTGCAGCGTGCACGGTGAAAATGTGCAGCATCAGAGCGCGCGCCCGAGCGGCCTGCGCAGAGACCGTCACAGCGTGCCTGTCCACTCTATCAGTGTCAACCCGCGCAGCCAGCTTCCCCGTGCAAGTCGTACGTGACTGGCCTGTTACAGCGCTCAGAGACAGCTTACATAACCCGCAATGCGTTCTGCGCCCGCCAAGCATCTGATCCCGGTGGGGTACCCGAGGCCCGCAGCCCGCATATGGTGGGATACAGGAGGCGGGCGGTATCCTAAGCCCCGAAACCCGGAAGCAAAAGCCCGCAACCCAGGGTCGACAAGCCATTGCCCTCAGCCCTAAGCCCTCAGCCCTCCCCGACCCACAGCCGACAGCCGACGCAGCCAAACCTGGACCGTCGTCGGTGGCAGTGCAGTCGGCGGTGCGCTGCGCTCCCCCCCCCCCCCCCCCATGCAGGCGTCTCGCCGACGGCAATGTCTCGTGCCGGAGCCCAGGGCCGTGCGCTGGCGTCGATCGACAGGCACGAGCCCAGCTCAGTCACGTTCTGCACTCGGCACCTGGCACGGCCGTCAAGTCAAGCTGACGGTCGCCCCGTGAGGTCAGGGCCGGCTAGAGCTGGCCGGGGGGACGGTGTGGCCATCAGCTTGAAATGGGGGGGGGGGGCATTCCGCTCTTGTGATCCGCGGCAGCGCCGTGGCAAGCGCTTTTTCGTCGTGACTCGCAACTTCAACGGGGTCTTCGTAAAATGTGCTGGCCAAATTGGTAAAAACTATGCCACGGTTGTGCAGTGGGGGGAGGGGGAGCTAAGCTCTGTCTCAATGTTCCCCACCGCGGGCCACTTGTCTGCATTGGATGGCAGTACAAGGATCGTTACGGACACAGGTATGGGCATCAGTCTTGGCCAAGTGTCATTAGACAGTCCTTTGATATTTGGTCGTCCCAACCAGGCCTGACCTATCGCTTCTGACGCATTCGAAAATGTGGCTGGAGGGATAGCGTTGACTAACCCTTCCTTTCCGTTCACACCAATTCAGTGAATTCAGTTGCAGCGCTCTGTTTAACGGGAACGCACCACGTCGTCAAGAGCACTTTTGTAAGGAACCAGCGGCTGCAGTGATCATAATGGTGCCAAGGAGCAATGGTGCGACTGAGATTTGAACACGAGTTCTTCGCGCGACAACCGAGGGACGAAATAGCTTAATCATTAGGCCCCTCGTTGTGATTAAATTGCTCTTGGCATAAGTAGTGGAAATAGTCCATATATGGAGCATTCTGCACATGTGCAAGGAGCTGCGAGCCACATGAGAGCGTCCAACTGATATTACGCACTGCGGCACAACAAATGGCACCGCACTCTCGTACGCCTGGAGTCAGTGCCTACCAAATGATTGTTGGTGGCTGGAGCAGTTGCTCATGCTCCAAGTCCATGATGTCTCCCAGCCATATATATCCCCACCACCCCCACCTCCTCCGCCGCTGGGCTCAACACAGGATGTCCCCCGTCCCATGCCCACCCCTCCCCACCCCCTCATCGCTGGGCTCAGCGCCGAACGTGCTGCCGTCGGCCACCGCCGGCTTTAACCTGGCCGGCCGGCTGAGACGGGTCCGATATTGCGGCGGCCGATTTACGACGTCGACAGCGCTGGACGACACCAGCCCGACCCCCACGGCCAGAGGCGCCGCCAGCGAGGGGTTCCAGGGCGGTGATGTGCCCTCTCCTTCCATCACCACGCGTAGTGGCACTTCCGTTTTGCAAAGTCCGTTTTTTGGCCAGGTGAAGTTTCTGTCCATGGCTGAGGCCAGGCACAGCACCACATGTTTGAGCGCGTTTCGAAGAGCCTGAGCACGCGCCTGCCGGCGTCCGAGCGCTCTAATGGAAACCCTTCCCATTTGACGGGGATTAGCCGTACGGAGTGAGCGGGCCGGCAGTGGCGTCAGGCGCCATCTGACACAGAGCCGCCGCGTGGTGCGGCGCGGTGATGGCGGGATGGCCGGCTGGAGACCGGGGCCCCTCGGCTGGTGACCGGCGCCGCTCGGCTGCTGGCCAGGGTCAGCCGGCTGGTGACCGGGAGCCTCTCGGGTGGGGACCGGGGCCAGCCGGCTGTGGACCGGGGCCAGCCGGCTGGTGACCGGGGGCCTCTCGGGTGGGGACCGGGGTCAGCCGGCTGTGGACCGGGGGCCCCTCGGGTGGGGACCGGGGCCAGCCGGCTGTGGACCGGGGCCAGCCGGCTGGTGACCGGGGGCCCCTCGGCTGGTGACCGGGGTCAGCCGGCTGTGGACCGGGGCCAGCCGGCTGGTGACCGGGGTCAGCCGGCTGGTGACCGAGGCCGGTTGGTGACCGGGGCCCCTCGGGGGGTGACCGGGGCCACAAGGCGCCAGGCCACAAACCAGTCGACTCACTTACCGCCACCTCGGTCAGATCCGCCAGGCTTATGTTGTAGGCGGCATCTCTGGAACACAAGGGCGCCAGATCAGCTCTCAGTCACGTGTACGAAGAAACGGGACGGCGGGCGGGCGTGTGCACGCACGGGGTCCGCGTCCGCTCCCTGCACTGCACGGTCATCATAACAGCCAGTACGGTCACCTTGCTCGACAAATACCCGAGACCGGGGGATCCATTCCGTTATGACTCTCCGTGCAAGGAAAGGGTGAGATGAGCAGCGGTTTGATTATCATTAAGTGTATATAGCGGTTTGCGGTTTGCATGTAGCGGTTTGATCATCATAAGAGTCTTGAAGGCTCACAGCGTCGGCATTCCACGCTGTTGCCACGCGTCCAGCAATTATACAACCTGTCTCGAAGATGAGGGCGACAGGGCAGCTGAGCTACTTCAAGAAGAGATGACTGGCCTGTCAGCCAAGTGGCGCTCAGCTCGTGTTTTGGCTCACAGGATCAGCCTGGACTGCATCTTCCTCAGTCCCACGGTTCTCAGACAGCGCGTCGGTTTTGCATCGCAGGCCACGCATTATTCCGCAGGGCGCAAACAGATGCTGACAGTTCGAGAATTATGGTAATGCGAGGCAAAACCTGAACGCTTGCCTCGATTTATAGGAACGAAGCCAACAAAAGCGAGGATCGGTTGGAATGTGGCTATAAGCATTTAATCGTGGTCTGCGCCACTAGGAGCCCACAAGGGCGAGGCGCACCCAAAACCAAACTAACAATACCGTACCCGAATATATCAATGTCTAATGAAATGTCTGATGGTCGCTGGTGGTGAGAGGTTACGCGGGAGACGGCCGAGAGGTTGAGCATTGGTTCAAGACGCTGCAGACTTCACCACACACCTCCAACAATGATTCTGTTTGGCAAGGTGACGTCCGAGATGAGCCGAAACTCAGAGTACCTCTGGACCTCAGTTCGATCTCAAAGATTCTTCGTCTATGTATTATATATATATTCACTGGGAGTAGGCCAGCAACAATGAACAAAGGTAGACTGAAGCTGCACATTTGAATGGGCGTTTCCATACATTTTCCTGTCGCATCATGTGATGCGCACTGCAGTCAGGAGACAACAAATCAGTACAACTTGCAGCGCACCCAATCACCGGCAATAGTTGGTATTCCAAGTTCTCCGTTAGGGTCAACACAGTTAAGGGAACTTCGCCATGGAGCTCACTTCCTGTCAGGCAGCAATCGCTAGTGACAGGTAAACCCGTTGGAGGATGCAGTAAATGCCGGGAGGCGAGAAAACGTAGAGCTGAAGACGACTCATTTCATGTCCTATATGCTCAGCACATCGGGACGGTTGCCAAAATGCCTGTCAAGTAAGGCCACCTCAGTGGGAACACGGACCGCGGCGCTCCATTTCGATCTAAAGCTGAACACCCAAACGGATATGATGGAATTCGCGGTGAAATAGACACCACCGCTGACGAAAGCGCGCTGTTTATAGCATTTCCAGCAGCATACCAAAGTCTTCCCGCATGGCCTGAGGCAGCAGCGTGAGGACACTGGAGAGCGCCCAACACCGTGGTTCCATGGGAGGGAGGGGACGCCGCCGCACAAACTGTGGCACCGGCTAGCGCGGTAAAAACAGCAGACTAAACACACTGTCACGCCCGTTGATGGGCCAGTTTGTCAAAACGGGCTTAACGTATCGAGGCGATGACGCGACCAGTTTAACCGTGGAGACTGGACGGCTTGTTCGTGTTGTGAGCGCCCGAGGAGATTGGACGGCTTGTCCGTGTCATGAGCGACCGATCTCGTCTAAGCTGGGGCCGAGTTGAATCAAGGCCGGTTGTTTGCCTGCCTGCTCGAGTGATTACGAGGGCCGTTGTAGTTTGGGACCCCGCGTGGCCATAGCTCGCACCATTTGTGCAGACTGCCTTAAAAATAGTTTGCTCTCACGCTACTGATACGAAGTATTTGCCGAATGTACTTTTGCCACCTTGTGTTACTTGCTAAAAACATCGGGTCCAGTGTTTAACTGAACACAGCCGTCAGATCTTTACGAATCAATGGATCATTCACTTCCCGAAGGTGAGCACACCTCGCGGCGGCCATTTTACCCATCGCAGCATAAACATCGGGCAGGTACCGTCGGCAAACTAACAGGCGCGAGGGGCAGGAATCGAAACTGGAATGACGTCATCACCCTGTGAAATCCTTCCGCAGGCGGTGATGTACACGCAACATGGGTGACAACCCCATAAAGTTAAACGCCTTCGAAAAATTTGGAAGGGGGCGATGAGCGAAGGGACTGTTGTATCACCGTGTCCGTCCACACTGGGACAAAGAGGCCAAGTGTGAATGTAGGCCATGGCTGAAGAGCATCCCACACGCCCCTGCGCATCTGCAGCCAGGCCAAGCCTCAGCCCGCCCCCCATCACAGGGCTTCACACATCGGCGAAAAAATGGATTCACTAGTGATGTCGTAGCGCCAATGAGCACAGGGGCATGCGCTCAGGAAAGCCGGCCAGCACCCGGGCTGGCTTCCCTCGCGCCACAGGTTCCCAGTGATCGTCACACCATCACGTCGTCACGTCCGTCACGTCACTCAGTGACGACAATCACGTCACGCCGCGTCGTCACGTCACGCTGCGGTGGCGACGCGCGCTTCTTTCCCTCCCTTCTGCGCCTCCTGCGCCGCGAAATCCAACGACCGGCAGCAGCACACAATCAATCCTGCTGAAATGTGGCGGAGTGCCGGCGGCGCCGCAGCCGCCATGGTTTCCGGCGGAAGTGGTCGCAGCGGAAGCAGGTCAACCGCGCCGCCACCCGACCACGGCAGCGACAGAGTTCGGCAGGTGGGAATGCGCCCTGAGAGTCACCGGACTTGGCGGACACTTGACAGAAATATTTGCATCATGCATGCAGTGGGCTTCATTGAAGTTTCGATTACATGTCACCAACGATAAGGTGCAAGAGCTCACTTTGCTCTTTGCCCGCATTGTTCCGGAGATACTTAACGAGGTTCATTTCTGGACTCCAGTGCAGTCGGAAGTGACACATTCCATGACACTTTGCTCCCTAGCCCAAACTGCATGAATGCTTCGGTGACGGCGCAAAGCACCTTAAAGTTGACATATTTCATAAGCGTCACATATCTGACGCAACAGCGAAGTGTTGCACAGCTCATATAGACCCTGGTCAGTTTGCGGGCCACTCGGGCCACTCTCAGTATTCTGGGCATGTCTGCCGCCCAAACGACTCCAGCAAAACTCGTGCGCAGTTCGCCAGCGGAACGGCCAGTTAGAAAGTTTGGTGATGTCCGTCCAGGCCGTCTGGCGTGCGGCAACTGGGGCGTGGATTGCTCCATGAGGCTCTGAACAGTCGGCTGAGTTCGCCTCATATCAGTTCCGACAGTCAGATATGTGATGTGGCGCTACAAGACTGATAGTTTAGGAGATTATCTACGCGCTGGATCGTGCGCCCTACAGCCAGAGTTGCAGTGTTAAAGATTGCCGGCCCTTCTCCGGCTCCGGCCGCGGTGTCACCAGCCACCACTGGGACATGTAAGGGAAACGCAGCACAATATCTCCGGCCTCGGTGTCACCAGGCACCATTGGGGCATGTAAGGGAAACACGGCACAATATATCTGGTCTCGGTGTTACCAGACGTCATTGGGGCATGCAAGGGAAACACGGCACAATATCTCCGGCCTCGGTGTCACCAGACACCACTGGGGCATGTAAGAGAAACACGGCACAGTATCTCCGGCATCGAAATAACCAGGCGTCACTGGGCATGTAAGGGAAACACGGCACAGCATCTCCGGCATCGAAATAACCAGGCGTCACTGGGCATGTAAGGGAAACACGGCACAGCATCTCCGGCCTGGGAAACACAGCACAGTATCTCCGGCTTCGGTGTCACCAGACACCACTGGGGCATGTAAGAGAAACACGGCACAGTATCTCCGGCATCGAAATAACCAGGCGTCACTGGGCATGTAAGGGAAACACGGCACAGCATCTCCGGCCTGGGAAACACAGCACAGTATCTCCGGCTTCGGTGTCACCAGACACCACTGGGGCATGTAAGGGAAACACGGCACAGCATCTCCGGCCTGGGAAACACAGCACAGTATCTCCGGCTTCGGTGTCACCAGACACCACTGGGGCATGTAAGGGAAACACGGCGCGGTATCGCATGGCATATTCCCAACGTATGCAATGCAAGCAAATCAATGTTCTGTACGTGAATACAGCTAATGCTCTGTTTTATGTTGATCAAAAATTATGCCAACGCCCAAGGTATATCGACACGCTTAAGCTGGCTTAGCACAGCCAGTCAGGTAAATAAGCATGGACTAGAGTTGGTGAAAACACGATGTCATATATTTTCGTATGGAATACGCGGTAATCAACCGACGTTTTAGCACACGCTTGCATTTAATTTGATTCGGAAACTACCTACAAGTTACTTATACTGCATCACCCAGGTTATTGGGCGGCGACGAAAAAGAGGCCAGATACGAACTTGAGGGATGCAGTTGCCCTATGTACCTGTGCAGGTACATAGATACTTCAGCCAAGGTCAATACTTTTCAACAAAAAAGGAATGTTCGGATGTCCCAACATTTTTCCAGCCCTGAGCCATTCCTTTCATAAATATCATACATAACCCATGCTTATCACCACCTCCTGATAAAAATGTAAATACTGGCGATCCAAACCGCCACAAAAGCAAACATAGTAACTCCTGCCTCAAGCAACCAAACGCCAGGTGTCCAACGTGCCAGAATGAAATGTGTTATTTTCTTATCCCCCACGGGAGTCTACGAGCTTTAACACACATCTTCATGAATCAGAGACCCAGAAGCAAATCGTCACACAACTTGTACCGCGGATAACGTCGCCAACATTCCGAACGATTGAAACGGAGCGTCGCGGTGACTCACCCACTCGTCATGCTCATGCAGCCGGCGGCGTGAGGTCGCTTGTCTACCGCAACCCCCACGTGGAGCCACCGAAAAATGACGCGCTGTAGCTGAGTGGTGGAAGCTGCGGTGGATGATTTATGCCCGTCGAACTCGCCGCTAATGCGTCAGCGGCGCCAAGAAATACCCCGCAAAAAAGCACCCAGACTAAATTTGTGGGCAGCTGTTGACAAAGATTGTACACCACACGTGCCATTGGGGAAACAGTGCCGATGCACGACCGGGAGCCGTTATCACGATGCGTAGCTGGAAGTACCTAACTACGGCCCAGTGGTTACCATCTAAGGACATGCCTGCGTGTACATCAGGTGGGTAATTTGAGAAGGCATGATAAACATTTCTGGAGGAGCGTTGGCAATTATTTGTGTGACAATACAGACATCAGATGCTATAAGTAACGAGCAACAAATCTTCCGGGCGGGAAGGCCCGACATGCGACACCACTTATCCTGCAAATAGCTTTCCCTGCGTTCAATACAATATTCAGCGCAACCTTACATAAATGGCTCCATAAAAGGCTCCTTCACAATTTTGCGGCGCGCTTTCCACTCTGCACTGTGGGCAGAAGTGGGGTGCTTAGCTGCCGCTTTGTGCGAGTAGAACTAATTTGGTATCTGACTGAGGGTGATCGTTGCATCCGGTCAGGTCATGTGGGCTACCATGATGCATTCCGGTTGCAGACGGTGCACGAGCTGCCCTGATTTTTTTCTTCAGAGACACTCATACTCGCATGGTGACGCCGGCATACTGATGTGTTTTAATAATGCCGCAAGTGAAGCAAGTAATTAAGGAAGCTAAATATACAGTGCGATTGAATACGCATGGTTAGCTCTATGAGTTGGCTGTAGAAGCTTTTGTTTTCGCTAATAAACTTGAGTTCAGCTTTAAAAAAACAACCGCACCTTACACGAAAGCCCTGACACAAAAAATGATTAAGTCGAAAGTGCATGTTAATGATTGTAAATGTTTATGTCAAAATCTTCAAAACAGGAGCGTACGTCTCGGCCGCATTCGGTGGGTACCAGTGATTATGAAGATACCAACGGTTGATTCCCAGCATGCCGTTGACTGGCATGTCCTGATATGGGGTTGCTGTTGCAACGGCACTGCGCGTGCGCATGCGCAATGCTGGGTTAGGCAAGAGTTGTGTGCAGCCAGTTTTAGATGAGTGACAGAGCATGCACTTCATTAACCTGAGCACAGCGTACGCATGGCTAATGGGATGTCACAATATTCGCATGGCTAATGGTATGTCATAAAATTAATTGTTGCTCCCGTCCTCTTAGATCTAAGAAGCAGTGTAGGAGGATTCCCCTAATTCTGAGAGGTTGTTGCAATACGTAGCACGCTTGATGATTTGTGTTACGAGTGTCTCAGATGCAAACCATAAATCTTTGAAAATTGTCATGTCGTTTGTTTCCATGGCGCTTGGCTACGGCCTTCTTTTGTCAGGGCCCCGTGTCGAGGACGCCATGCCCACAATTAGTCACGCGACCGTCCCCACGGTGTCAAACAATGATCGCCCCCCCCCCCCCCCCCGGCCTTAAATCAAAAGCCTTATCCCGTTTTCCATCACACCGCACATATTTGCAACGTGACGCATCTTGCAAGTAAGTCGTCACTAAATAGAATATTAATTAGAGTTTTTCAGCACTCTCCGAGAGATCACGCAAATCGTTAAGATGCATCTACTTAATGACTGATCAAGATCAAACAAATCAGACTTTCCTTAGAAACGTCCTACGAAGATTCATGCCAGTTGCGTTTATGACCCAAAAAGGATTATGCAGATCTGGCGGCAATTCCCTCAAAGAGTTCTACCAATCTCACTTTAGTCCAGTCAGCAACAGCAGCAGCAGGCCATCGAACGATAGTCCAAGAGCTCGGGCTTTAAATAGCAAATAACTGAACTCATGAAATTCAAAAGCAGAATGAATAGAGGAAATGCTCATGAATTGCACTGGGTCGTGATATCCGGGTGGGTGTTAATTGAGTGTGCCCCAGATTTCCCGCCACGTCAGCGCATGGCGGGCCTCACCTGGCGCCGATGACGACGAACTGGTCGTCTCTGTACAGCATGCGGAAGTAGTCGCGCCCGCTGTGGTTGGCGCTGAATGTGTCGGTCGCAGCACGCTCTGCAACAGAGACATCATCACCATCAGAGCCGTCATCTCGCGGTGCCGCACCGCACCAGAGCGCACGCATTCGGGCCCGGCGGGCGCTCGCCGGGCACCAATCCGGCGCACAGCCGCACGCGGCCGTGGATAAATTCGCCAGGAGCGTGGCAATAAAGCCAGAGATGGATGGCGTGGTGCGGCAGAGGCGCGCCTTCCGCTGCATATGCATCGGAGGCACAATCGCCGCGGACAAGGAAGCGCCCGCCGCCTGTGCGAGCCGAGGAAAATCCTCGCAACACACCTCAGCCCGCCCCCCTCCCCCCCCGCCGCTGCCGGGAGCCGGGGGGGGGGGGGGCGGAGAACAGATGACGCCGGCCCGCCGCCGCGTATATCCATGGCCCAATCAGCGTCTCACGCGCAGTATGACACGTCGCAAGATACCGCGTCGCCCGTTAATCAGAGAAACAGGGCGGCCGACGCTCGCGTGCGTGAGACACGGACCGCTTCATCAGCGGGGAGACGGGGGGTGTCACCCGGAAACCGGCCGGCGGCGGCGGCCTGCGCCCCGGGGTCGTCGCCCCGGGAGCCCGGGCATCTGCGGAGAGCGTCACATGACTCCGGAGCGACATCGGATCCGAGGCAGAGGCGGCCGGCGCCGCGGCGTCTCGCGGCGGTGCGCGGCGCTGCCAAATCGAAGTGGAACCGTGGGGTAAGGGGTTCATGCTGGATGACGGAGACGTGGCCAGCATAGCGGTGCGGTGGAGGTACCGATTGCAAGATTACAGATACCGGCTGTGGAGCATTAGACGTCACGCACAGCAAGCGCAGCCGTCGTGAGAACGAGGGAGCTCGAAGTCTGGGTCTGGGTGTGTATACGCAGTCGAGGGATGGAGGGAATGGAGCGAATAAGGAACGGAATACATCGTAAAAGATAAGTGGAATTGTGATATGGTAGCTGCGGAGGGAATACAGCGATGGCGAAGAGTGAGATAGCGAGAGAGAGAGAGGAGAGAGAGAGAGAGAGAGAGAGAGAGAGAGAGAGAGAGGGAGGGAGAAAGAGAGAGAAAGAGAGCGAGAGAGTGTGTGTGTGCCCACGCAGACAGCGAGCACGTATGAGATAACGTAAATACTTAATTATTTGGTAACAATGCTACCACATTGGGGAATGGGGACAATTAGTAGTACCCATGAGGCCTGAAGATCGCGCATCTTAATTGCTCCTGATGAGAAACCAATTTGAAAAACATTGTAGACATGAACTCGCCAGAAAAGATGAAATGGACGCAGGAATCGGGATAAATATTATCTATTTTGCCAAACATAAAGGTTAGCGAAGCGATTTTGCCTAAGTCGCTGCAAATAGAATGCTTTACTGGGTCGATATCCCTTCCAATGTACATGTCAATGCAGCCAGCGAATAGGAATGATGTATTAAACAATGTGATAAAAAATATCCCGGAAAATGTTCGAGTTCGGGGCCTTGGCATCTGTATTACATTTGAGTTTCAAGGGACCACACATCCGTGCCTGAAAGAAACCAATTAAGCGAACGCGATATATATATATATATATATATATATATATATATATATATATATATATATATATATATATGTGTGTGTGTGCATAGATCTCTCTCTCTCTCTCTCTCTCTCTCTCTCTCTCTCTCTCTCTCTCTCTATTCTCTCTCTCTCTCTCTCTCTCTCTCTCTCTCTCTCTCTCTCTCTTCATCTTCTCTCTCTCTCTCTCTTCTCTCTCTCTCTTCTCTCTCTCTCTCTCTCTCTCCCTCTTCCCTCTCTCATCTCTCGCTTCTCCTCTCTCTCTCTTCTCTTCTCTCTCTCCTCTCTTCTCTCTCTCCCCCTCTCTCTCTCTCTCTCTCTCGATCTCTCTCTCTCTCTCTCTCCTTCTCTCTCTATCTCTTATATGTCCTATCTAGATATAGATCTATATCTATAGAATTCCTATATATATAATACATATACATATATATATATATATATACATATATATATATATATGTATATGCCTACATCCAGCACATCGCCGCTTTCTACACCAGTTTGCGACAGAAGAGCCGGTGCTGTCTGGCCTGACCGTGCGCGAGGCGAGGATAGGGGACAGCGGGGTCATTGTCCCCTGTCGTCCTCTTCCCGGCGCGCCTGTCCAGAAAAATACAGCCAGAGTCACCGTCCGCCACGGCGCCATCCACACAGATCATTCCATTAGTGAGGCTTCGTTTAAACCGGCGACGACCGGATAACAAATGGACGTCGGCGTTTTTGCGCCCGACCTGCTACAATGACGACCGGGGAGGGGCACCACGGGGGGAGGGGGAGTCGGACGAGTCGAATCGTCTCTGGGCGGGAGGCGGCACACAGAGCGATCGTCCCGCACGCTCCTGGATGGGGACGGTCCCACCGACGGAGGGGACAACAAGAAGCGCTCTCCGGGGACGGTAAAAAACATCGCCAGCAATGGATGAGGAAGGGGACCTCTGCGGTTTAGGGCCGAGATGGTGCTGGGGTGGCACACACTGGCCAGTATTATGGTTGTGACGACATGCAAAATATCTCGCAGCAAGGAACGCCATCGAGAGGGTAGCAAAAAAGGATCCTTCCCCACGATATGGGAATAAACGAAAATGTTTGATCGCCAAAAGACAGGAGAACTGCAGATTGGTCGTAAATACAGCGCCTGGCAGCTGAGGGAGACGAGACGAGAGTGCCTCAAGAAAAAGCAAACGCAAGGGTTCGGACAGACAAAAAGAGAAAGCAAAGAACAAAGCCACGAGAGGAAAAGACGCAACCAATCGACATTTGTTGGGACACTAGGCAATGAAAGCAGCAAGCAAACATGGCACGGCGAGGAGGCTCGCCCCAGGATCAGCTGGCTGGACGAGCCGACGGACGCCGGGGCGAGCGCCCCGCCTGCCCCGTCTGTCCCGCGCCGGTACGCGGGCCCCGGACCGTCCGGCGACCCTGCCCCCGTTATCGGCGGCGCTCACGGACGAGCGGCGGCCGCCCGCCTGAGAGCCGGCGCAGCTGTCACGCGGCTGTCACGCGGCCGCCGCCGCGCGCGCCGCGTGACGGGGCGCGAGGACGCGGCCGCCGGCACTTTTTGCCGCCACCGCCGCCGCCGAGCCCGGCAAGTGTGTCAGGCTAACGGGCGGGCAGCACCGGCCGCCGCTGTCGGCTCGGTCCGGCGCCGGCCGCCGGGAGGCGATCTGCCGGGGACGCGACACGAGGCCGCTCGATGCTGAGGAGACGCGACACAAGGCCGCTCGATGCTGAAGAGACGCGACACGAGGCTGTTCGATGCTGAGGAGACGCGACACAAGGCCGTTCGATGCTGAAGAGACGCGACACAAGACTGCTCGATGCTGAGCAGACGCGACACAAGTCCTCTCAGCAGGCAGCCGGTCAAGGCTGAGTTGCAAGTCACAGCTCCCTCAAGAAGCTCTGAAGACGCACGGCTACCGTCCGAAACAAGAATCGCATGATTGGAGTGTTTGCATCGTTTGGCTGAGCGCCTCCAAGCACGGATGCCGCCCACAAGGAGAAACGCCCCCCCCCCCCCCGAAACGGAGCGGCTGAAGCTTCCTCTGCAGTCGGGTGCACGGGGTCGTCCGTCTCTGTTCAGCATATCGGCCTTGTCAGCGGCTCTGTTCAATACGGGCCGCCGCCGCGGGCCGCCGTGTTGAGCAGGAACGCGTTTGCCGTCAGCACATATCGGCGTGCAGCGCGGGCCGGCAGTGTTGCGGGTGGGCCTGCAGGTCGGAGTGGTTTGTCCGCGGCTGTGCGAGCAGGATGGACCAGATTGAAGTGCCACTAAAGACAACGTAAATTTGCCCCACAATTGGCCCACGGCTCGAACGGCGGCAATGATGATTAGAAGTAACGGCCGCGGTGATATATAACACCAGTGTAAGTGCAGGATGCGAAGCACCAAAGTAGCCGTAATGGATGGTAGACGGCTGGCAAAATATTGCACACAAATTCGGCTGCTGTTGCGTAAGTCTGATGCCCAGCGTTATCCCATTCACAGTGACGGTCTTGCAGTAAACAGGAGGCGTTTGCTTTCCTTTGAGGTGTTATAATGCAAGCGACTGATAAATGAGAAAATAATTACACTATGCCCAGTAATTTGTGCATATCTCTCAAGGCTGTCAGTAACATCGACGTTCAACGCAGAGTGATGAATGTTCAACAAAAAAAATCCGGGATATCGAGTTCGGTACAAATTCATTCTTCGCCGGCACAATAGGACATGACTTGTTTGCAACGCAACATCCCCTTTGAGCCTAACTGAAATGTGTTTCGTTCTGCTACGTCCAATCCCAAAACACTTTAAAAATCGCTCTGAGGGATTTCAACAAGGCACCGCGGAAACAAAGAAACCCCTGAGTGACGCGGCGTGAACGCCTGAGTCAGCGATCCGTCGGACCCCGTCACTCCCAACCCTCGATCCGCTCTACCTCTTTACAATAGAGTTCAGCTGTACCTCTGTACCAGAGATCAGTTGTACCTATGTACCACAGAGCTCAGTTGTACCCCTGTACCACAGAGTTCAGCTGTATCTCTCCACCACAGAGTTACAGCTGTACCTCTTTACCACAGGGCTTAGCTGTACCTCTGTACTACAGAGCTCAGCTACACCTCTGTACCACAGAGCTCAGCGGTACCTCTGCACCAGCAGGTTCAGCTGCATCTGTGTGCCGGTTGGCGGGGTCCGCCCCTGCCAGCGGTGTCGGTTCTGACGGATCGCCGCCCGCTTCCGGCGGCAGCCCGGCCGGCGGCACCGTGTCACTCCGGGTCATCCATAAATCATCGGCCGGCGACGGCCGCCTCCGCCGCGCTCGTCCGTCATCGCACGCACGCGGCCGACACATCTGCCCCTCCCCCTTCTGCGTGTGTCTCGCTCTCGCTCTCCTTCTCTCTCCCTCCCTCTCCCTCCCTCTGCTCCTATCTCCCTCCGACGCGGCGCTGCGGGGATCATGTCGCTCGGTGAAGGGTCGCCGTGCCCCTCAGCTGTCTGGCTTTCTGCTCCCCCCCCCCTGCGAGGGGCTCTGGATTGGTGTAATGGCACGAGATGCACGGGCGAGACTGACGTCCACTTGTCTGCAGAACGCGGCGATGGGGTCTGAGCTAGAAGTGAGACAGACAATAGGTGATTTGCAGATGCCCTTAAGCCTGATCAAGCAACGGAAGCTTATGAATACTGCGTGCAATTTTCGGTCAGTCTTGTGCTTGAAGCTCTCCCTCAGCGAACTGAATTCTGGCTGCGGTTCACGGCACATGAGGCTGTTCTTTGTTCAAACCCCGAACAGCAAACACAAACAGTGAAACGACTCCGATTCCGACAGGCGGAAACCCGAACCCGTTTAAGAGTCGGCTCCCGCGCGGACGATCTAGGTAACAGCAGTTTAAGAGATCACCCACTCCATGGGCTTTATGAAAGCGTTTAAATGACATCGGTTTTGAGAGCAAGACGGCCGTATCTTATTTGCGTTAATTGGTGCGCGTGGGAAATTGTCAGACTTTTGAGATATCCTGTTACTTTCAGCTATATTTGAGCCGATTCCCACCGGCGATCTGAGTGACACGATTTCGGCTTCCATTCACGGGGCTAGTTTAAGAGATCTTTATTTGGCTAATTCCTGGCTCTATTACGGTTCCGACTGAGGGAGGAATAGCGTAGACCCGTGTTCATTGTAAGAAACAATAGTGAAAACAGCTTTGGAGCTTTCAGTGACTTGTTCAGAATCATGTCGTATTAGAACAAATTGACTTTTCCCTTTGGAATCCCGGGGACTCTCGCTGTCGGCGGGTGCTATAGTTGTACTGCATTACACAAGCTTGAGTTATCAGCAGCTTTGCCATATCGGTATTTCTTCCGCTCTCTAACGTTTCCCACTTCCCTCATGAGAAATTCGGACGTTCTCATACTTTTCGGGAACGGCCTAATTTCTTTAAGTGTTTCGGTCTTGAAGGCAGTCGTAGGCATGAATCGCGTTTAAACTTTATCAGTTTCGGCACGCGTCAGTTTTCATGGTTTGGCAGTAATACATGAAAGCTGAGCAGGTAGTTCATGCACACACGGTATTGATTTCTCTTAATACAAACTGAATGCGCATCATATTACTTACGAGACTAGAATATTCAAATATGTTAATATGTGTCCGCTCATTCCATTCATTGCACCGAACGAACAAACATGACATTGACATGACAATTTGGCATTTGGCTTGTGTGCTCCATCTTATCTGCCAAACGACTATTTGTCTGGGTAAACGAACAAACACGGGCAGTATTTGCGATGTCGTTACGCTAATTTGGTCATCACATGATGAGGCCTACAATGATATCAAACTTCACAAATGTTGCGTGCAGTACAGGCCGCCAGGTCAGATGTAAATGAAGATTAGCATACACCAACCAACATTCCAGTTGCCGCCGTGAGCCGTATCGCAAATGAATCTTGGGACGTAAGCTTGGTCGTGATGGAGGCGATCCATCAGCACTCTGAAACATTGGCTATCGCCGTGCTTCCCCCCCCCCCCCCCTGCCGCTTCCTTGCACACACTCGCGATGGTATACAATGGCTATCATCATACTGTCCCCCCCCCCCCCACCCCCACCCCCTCCCACACACCCGCGATGGTAGATAATGTGTGGTCAGCGCTCTCGTTTCGGAGGCAGGATGGTGCTCGCAGGGCCGCGGTATGACCGATCGCAGGTGGTTACCGTGAGTGGTCTGCCAGACGGCACGCCATACGTCTTCCAGCCGTCTTAGCGCCGACCATGCGTGCCGCGAAATCCCGCGAGCCGACGTGAACGCATGGATTAACGACATGATGGCGCACGATTGTTCACGATCTCTGACAAACTACGCGCTGATTCCCAGACATGATCTCCAGCTGCCCTTCTCCAGCTGACTGCGTGTCCAGACGGGATGATGCCTGGCTCACCACGCTGAACTGCGAGTCAGCCGTGCAGTTACGGCTCAACATGCTGAACTGCGTGTCAGCCTTGCAGTTACGGTCCACCATGCTGAACTGCAAGTCAGCCGTGCAGATACGGCCCACCATGCTGAACTGCAAGTCAGCCGTGCAGTTACGGGCCCACCAAGCTGAACTGCGAGTAAGCGGTGCAATTACGGCCTACCAAGCTGAGCTGCGAGGTAAGCGGTGCAGTTACGGCCCAAACAGTGCTGAAACTGCGTGTTAGCCGTGCAGTTACGGATGCTGAACCGCAGTCAGCCGTGCCGTTAAACGCCCACCATGAGGAACTGCCTGCTAGCCGTGGCCGTTACGGCCCACCATGACTGAACTGCGTGCTAGCCGTGCAGCTACGGCCCACCATGCTGAACTGCGAGTCAGCCGATGCAGTTACGGCCCAACCAAGCTGGACTGCGGAGTCAGCCGTGCAGTTTACGGCATCTGATCCCCGAGGCAGTGGTGTTCGGTTGACGCGGGGGCTTCACAACATGGTCCCGACCACCCCATGCAATAGTTACACCAGCCGGTCTGAAACGTGGCCCCACCACAGCGACCCCACACCCCACCAAGCAGCCGACCTATTTGAAAGTAAGACCGACATTGGCCGGTGGTTAGGGACTTCCTGCGCTGCACGCACCAGCCTTTTGAACTACGTGGTCGGTGGCGACAGAAACGTCAGCACAACAGGCTTGCGGGCACCGAAGCTGTGAAGCGTCCCAGTCACCGTTTTCGAATTCGTTCACCTCCTCCTGGAAGGCTCCAAACCTCACTTGTGCGAGGTCCACCGATGTCTGACTTTCATTGGCCGGAACAAGGATCAATGAAGAAAACTGGCTGGCAGTCGAGGAAGCCGATTGATGACCGCTACCGGCAGCCGGCGGGTGCCAATGGATTGTTACAAGTTGGGGTGGCGAAACCCACCACGTATTCGGCCCTTAAATGGGGTGGGGAACATCCGGTTGTATCACTTCCGCCAATATCGGAAACCAGATTTGGTCCTGTGTTGGTATCTGGTCCCTCCCAGCGAGCTGCTGGAATGCTTCGGATCGTTCTCAGCTGTACAGTGCTCAGCCCCGAGCGAACAGTGTTGCATTTGAAAAGAACGCATTCGCAGAGGTTTGAAATAAACAGTCCGATGCCTCATGGAGCTGCCCAGTGGCACACGGCGATGTCAGTCGTGCGTGTCACCGACGCCTGTTTTCCAGCTTCACGCCACCATCGCTGCCGCCAACCTGCGCCGTTTATGGCGACACAGAGAGCACCAGCTGCGCTCCGGGAAAGCAGGCTGTCGATGGGAACAGAGGGAGTGATAGACGAGCGCCAGTCGGGTTTTTCTCGTCGATCGACGGACGATAGGAGAGCGATGGGAGGCCTGAGCCTGAACATGCCGCAGTCTACGGCAGCCGTCTCGTCCTCGGCCGTCTCGGCGGCTGTTTTGTCGGCCTCTCCATCGTCCGCGGATGACGCTCGTTGTCAGCCTCAGCCGCGACGCGAGATACGGCACAAAGGGCACCGGAGGGCCGCTCTTAATTAACGTCAACAGAGGCCACAAACCCCAAACGAGCGTCGGGCCGAGCGTTGTCCCGGTCGGCGCTCTCTGACGTGTCCGCGCCGGAGCCTGTGATTACCGAGCCGCGCCGCGGCCGGCCGCGTGTCGCGTGCTCGGGCTGTCGCCTCCTGTCAGCCAATCGGAGCGCTTGTGTGGCGGCGGGCCTGGCAGCGACAGACAGCCCGCACACGTGCGAGTGTGTGCCGCGGACAATGCTGATCGATTGCGCTGCCACGGGTCGGCTGGCGCCACTGGCGACGCCGCGTGTCGGGACAAATTTCCACTTCACCCGTGGGCGACCCATTCAAGCGATCGCCCCGGTCCGCCGAACTTCTCTCATTTGCTCAGGCTTGGAGGCGCGACACATGTCAAAAACGATGCTCGTCGAGCGGCTGACTGGCGAGCTGGATTGGCTCCACCGGATCAGCATTCCGATGAATCGATAGGATGTCCCGCTCTTGGCTCCGCTCCGCCGGGCAGCCCAAGACAGAAGTTCGGAGCGGCCGGCGGCGACGGCAGCCCGCCGCCGTTTGACGCCGGCAGATCCAACGACTCGCTACGCCGGTACATAAGGACCTGGCGCGGCGTTCGCTGCGAAAAAAAACACTGGCAAGTGTCCGTGAAAACCATCCCACGAATCGAAAGATGCGCTAAGACAAAAACAGCTCATTCTGAAAACCACTGATTCTCAGAATCACTAACATTACTCTTACGAAATTTGTTGGCTCTAAAGACAGGAACCATTGACACTGGTCAGTGTAAATATTTGTATTCTTGTTGTTGCGGTGCGGTGGGTCTGGAGCTGCCAGCCACCCCAGCAACCTGCGGTGCGAACGGGGCCAACACGATCGGTCTTAAGTAAGGCCGACACCGAGACGTCTGAACCCGTGAATCAAAAGATGCGCTAAGACAAATGCAACTCATTCTGAGAACCACTGATTCTCAGAATCAGTTACATTACTCTTACGAAGTTTTTTGGTTCTAAAGACAGCAACTAACAACACTAGTCAGTGTAAATATTTGTATTCTTGTTGTTGCGGTGCGGTGGGTCTGGAGCTGCCAGCCATCCTAGCAACCTGAGGTGCGAACGGGGTCAACACGATCGGTCTGAAGTAAGGCCGACACTGAGACGCCTGAACCCGTGGACGGATAACGCATAACACTGCCAGGTCTGAGCCTGTGTCTGCGTGCAGAGGACCCATGTTGGCCCCAGCTACCCGGTAACGTACACCTGCATCCAAAGGACCCGTGTCAGTCCCAGCCAACCGGTGGGGACGGTCGTGGCAACGTACACCTGAGAACTTCGAACTGTTCGGCAGCATGTGTCGACCAACAGCGAATGTCTTCCAGCATGCATATTTTCAGCTGTGGCCGCCTGCGTAAGCCTGATCAGCCCGTTTCATCCGAGCCACCCTAAATCAGCCATGTCCGTTGAGGCTTTCTGTGTCGGTCTGTGTCAGCTTGTGTCAGCCGACGTCCGTTCTCGTTTATCCGTTCTCGTTGATTCGTGTGTTGTGCGTGCCCGGCCTGCATCGATGTGTGGAACGCCGGCGGCGTTTCCGTTAACAGACGCTGCCGCCGCGCGCGGTAGAAGTACGACTCCGTGTGGACGGGATCCGGTACGGGCACGGCCAGTGCTTGCCCATGGTTCGGCCTGCCGCGCGCGTGGTAAGTACGACTCCGTGTGGACGGGATCCGGCACGAGCAGGAGCCAGTGTTGCCCGCGGTCGGAGATGGGAAGCCAGTGAGCACGGGGACGGGAGCCGCGCGACGGGGACATCATGGACAGCCGGCGCGGATGGGGACGGGAGCGGGAGCCGGTAGCCGGGAGCCGGCAGGCGGGAGCCGGCAGCCGGGAGCCCGTAGCCGGCAGCCTGGCGATGACGTCCAGCGTGGCGGCGTAGCGGATATTCGGGTCGGCCGGGCCGGGTCGGCGGATCAATGTGCCCCGTCCCGGCCAATCAATGGCCCCGGCTGGCCGGAGCCGCCAGCGCCGAGGCGCAGATGTGGAGAGATGATCGCCGCCGCGGCAGCCGACGCTGGAAGATGGCGTCACAGCCCGAGATGAAGATGGCGTGACACGGGGGTGGATGGAGGTGATCAGCACCACTGGATGAGATGATTATCACCGTTGGATGCGTGGGCTGATCTGCTGCCCTCAAGGAGACCAAAGTAGGGCCGCATCGGTCATTTTGTGACCCGTTCTCATTTTTCAGGTCGGTGGGCTCTAAAACGATGGTGAACTTTGCCGTGTCACCACAAGTCGCGAGATTCTTTTCAATTTGTTTAGTCATATTATTAGCTGGCTATTGGGGTACAGTGGTGTGACTTTACCACCTGGACTATGACGGGCAGTTTGCGTCCTCATCGTGCCAAGAGTCTCATGACGGCTCAAACACCAGTCCTCACCAGTCCTCATTAATCACCAGTTTGTAAGTCCTCTCCCGTTATCGATGAAACCGAGCCGAAATGCAAACCAAAAGCTGCCAGAGCTGTTGCCCGCATCATTGACCCAAGTGCAGAAGTCCCGCCAAGAGGTTTCGAGTGGAAAAGCGCGCGCGACGCTAATACTGAAGTCCCATCGGGTGGCTTCGAGTGAGAAAACATGTGCGACGCATTTCGGCAGACACGTTCTCGGCGTGCGCGTTGGTCGCGTGCGAATTAGGCACCCTATACCAACACTATCGTGTTAAACACTGGTGTTAAATACCATTTATACGGATGATTATGATTCTACATAAAATCGATGTCCTTCAGCAAACCCGGAACAGCTTCTGCATCAGTACGCTGGTCCTCGCTAACGAAGGGGCGCAGGAACAACGTCATCTGCACATTGCGGCCGCCGAAGTCGAGGCGCCACTTAGTTCGTGGAGGCGACACTGAGATGGTACAGAGGCAAATGACGGCAAGCGATCACAACGAAAACACACCGACGCTTCACCTCTGGGAAAAAGAAAACGTGCGTCCCGTACGTGTAGCTAACACAGGACGGCGACGCACGCTGAGTCCCCTCCCTCCGCTCTCCTCTGTTGGCCCGTGGGAGAACGTGTAACCATCCACCTTCGCTCTTGCTGTCCTGAGCTTGTTTCTCGCGCTGCAGCACGCGCCCGTGCTCACCTGGTCGCGGACTTGTTCCCAAGGCATGTCTTCAGACGGGCCGAGAGCAACGGCCCGAAACCTGAGGACAGTGATTCGGCGGGACAAGATCGAGTGCCAGCCCGCGGTCTCCTTTGAGGCTCGTCGACTCGCTCCCTTCTAGCCAGATCCATGCCACTGCGTGTGGACACTCGGCCTGGACCATCCGCTATCAGACCCGCCCTGTGGACACATCCGGCCTGGACCATCCGCTATCAGACCCGCCCTGTGGACACTCCGGCCTGGACCATCCGTATCAGACCCGCCCTTGTACAACTCCGGCCTAGATCATCCGCGTATCCTAGACCCGCCCCCCCCCCAAAAAAAACAGCCCAGCCCCAGCTCCAGTCCCAGTCCCAGCCCTAGCCCCAGCCCCAGCCTCAGCCCCAGCCCCAGCTCCAGCCCC